AAAAACCATTACTGCCTAGTGCCATGAGTTTGATGTATTACAGGTGAAGAAAACACGAAAAGGAAAAGTTTCACAGACAAACGATTCTCGAATCACTAGCGGATTAAAGGGACAGCGCTTGAGAAGCAGCTTCATAGGAAGGACCGGACCTGGAGTGGGCTCAAAGTGACCCTACTGGGCTGGAAATTTGAGGCCCAGAATCCGCTGCAATGAAGGAGTGTGGAACGCAGCGCAGTGGAGCATAAATGGGCCAAAAGCATTTGTCCAGGGAGAGGGGGGAGCTGGGCGGAACGGGACATAAAAAGGTTGGAGAGGAACTAATTGGCCAGGGGGTATAATAGGAGGCGGCTTGGGACACGCAATCTTCTTGGGGAAAAAAGGAGGGCAGCGCACAAGAGGGAACAACAGGCGACTAGCTAGCGAGGGACAGCAGCAAGCTATCGCGAGGAACAAGAGATCGCAGTGCATAATTCAAAATCAGTATTTTCTTTCGCTCGTGATTAGTTCAATGATGAATATGAACATGATTGTGTGTTTTATTTTTATCATAAACTAAAGGGCTAATACCACTACAACACCCGAACTATCGAAGAAATGCCACTTATGTCCTATGCTTTTCAATATTCCATTTCTATCATGAACTATGATACTTTGTGCCATTTGTATCCTGGCGATTTCGTTGACCGTTATCTCTAACGGTTGACCTGACGGTGGTCAAAGAGATGTTGACTTTTGTTGACATGGAAGGAAACGTGGCATCCACGTAGATGCCACATCATACCACGTATATTATTTAATTCAAAATCAAATTAAAATGCAAAATAATTAAAAATAAAAAAATAAAATAACCTTCTACCCACCGTCGCCTTCAACCCGCTCCCCACCCTACCCCCCTACCCCGCCCTCAATTCTAACCATCGTTGTCGCCGCCTTCAATGGCAACGATATCTCTCTGCCGCCTTCCCCCACGACAAGCTGCTCTTCCAGCGACCTCGCTTCCTCAACCCCTCCATCTGGAAGACGACGAAGCTCTGATTCTCATACAGCCAGTGGAACAACTTCGGCGGCCGAAAGATGGGAGAGGAGAGAGGGACGATGATGGATAGGGACGCAAACGACGATTAGGGATCGCGAACAACGGTCGGCGATGCCACGAGACACCGACGATGCAATCTTCCCCTGCTAGATTTGATTCCCCTCCAAATTGCTCGATCCCGCCGACCTGACCCTCCAAATTGCCCTAGCCCGCCGACCCAACATCGGGGCAAGATCAAGTTATCAATCGATGGGTGAAGGGCGGAAGAGAGACGGATTTGGATGGGGGAAGCTAGGGCCATGGCTGGTCGATTTAGGGCTCCTCTGAAATCGACCATGGAAGTTTCGATTCAGAGCAGTGGTGGAGGCAGGGGTTTTTTGTCGAATGAGGCAGGGGTTTTTGTCGAATGAGAGGGGTGATTGGAGCAACTGGTTGCGAGGAGAGCGGAGTACTGGGAGATGGTGGCGACTTCGCAGAGTCGGCGAGTTGGGAGGCGGAGTCGCGGAGAGGCGGAGGTGAGCAGGGAGGGAGAGAGAATGTGGGAGGAGGGTGAGGTCGGAAGTGGCCCAAAATTTTGCTTCTTTTTTATTTTAAAATGTTATTAATTTAAAATTCCATGTCATCTGCCACGTCAGCGGTAACTATAATTTCTGTTAAAATTAACGGTCAACGCCGGTCAACTCTAACGGAAAAAATAGTTCAGGACATAAATGGAATATTTGAAAGAATAGGACACAAGTGGCATTTTTGTCATAGTTCGGGTGTTGTAGTGGTATTAGCCCTAAACTAAACTCCAATTTTTTGGGGAAACACCATAGGATGAAGCTATTTCTATACTTGATGGATTGATTCATATTTCTTTTCTTCCAATCTCTATTGCATGGAATTTCTTAATGCTTTGTGTTGATTGGCCACCAATACAATGATTTGTAGTTAATTAGGTTATTAGCGACAGTAAAATCCTAATGACTGAACATATTTCCTGTAACATAGTAGTTTATCGAAGCGACAGTGGATTAAATAAGGTGCTATGCAGTCTTAATAAGGATATCGGTCTTCAGGCTAAATAATTAATTCATTGAGCTACGACAGTAGGATTTGAATTAATTGTTTAGTACGTAGTAATTCCCGACAGGGATAGCTAGCACATTAGTGATATCCTGGCTGTAGAGAATTGGATTAAACTGATTGGAATATGTGAATTAATTTTGATATGATAGATAGTGAGTCCCGGTGTTTCACCCATAGCTTTCTCCATTGAATTTCTCCCGACAGTTTTCATTTGCTTAATTTGTTTAGTTTATTTTGATTTTAGAAATTAGTCTCATTAAACTATTTTCACTAATAGTTTGCTCATAGAATTGATATATTATAAGGTTGTACCAGTCCCTGAGAGACGATACCCGGACTTTCCGGTTTTACTACGAGATAGGATTGAGGCATTACGCTTTTGCCCTATCACTTCCTCTGAAAAGGAGGAAACAATTGCTTTCCATGTAGACCACATCAAAAGCATTTAAGAAGTTGACACCTTCACTTGCTCCTTCCACGTGGCCATGAAGCTCCTGCACATAAGTCTTCCTTCTCCCACGATCGTTGCCCGTTATCTTCTTTCCTTTCTTAAGTTCACGCTTCTTCAATTCATTTACATAGGTACCCACTAGGATACCCACGATCCCTTGAAGTTGTTGGCGACAAGCATTAATCATTCTAGCCTGCAAGGGAAGCTTGCACAGGTGAGTTGTCTCGCGCAAGACGAGCCCAACATTCTCCTTCCTTGCCCGTCCATGAATGAGGCTGCTGGAGTCCATCCCTTCCCCTTGTCCCAATTTCGCTGGTCCATCCAATCCGAGAGCCCAACCAATTCGGCCCCACGGCCCGGCCTGCCGAAGTGTGGTGGGCGTCCAGTAGGTATGCAGAGGGTTTGCGAGAGGAAAAGCACAGCCCTCTGTAGCCGTCCCCTCCTTCTCCGTCTTTGTCCCCGACAACTTCTCATCTGACGGCGAACTGCTCCTCAGGAAGAAGATTCCACCTGCCTCCAGCTTCATCTTTGCCGCCGCTACCTCGGAGGCGACCGTCGAACGCCCGCCCGACACCATCACGACGAATGGTATTCCCGATGATTGCAACGCCACCTGCGCCGCATGAGAGTAAACCCGATGGACTGTCGTCATCTGGATGTTGATTCCTCGTTCGCTGACGGTCCTCCGCGTCGAGGATTTCTTCTTCATCTCGATCTCCCTCGGCGCGTTGTCCTCCAGGCGGCTGAGAGCCAAACCCGATCTTGCGAACATCTTCTTTGGCTCAAGTATTTCGTTAATCGTTGTTACGACCGGGGCTGCCAACCCACGTCGCACCCATTGCTCGCCTCAAAGCTCCGACCAGCCAACCCGACGGCTGCTTGTGTCCTCTGGCTCCCCTCGCTTAGTGTTGTCGACTCCGCTCTTAGCTCGTGTTGTTCCCATTTCCATAATCCTTGCAGTATGAGTTTCTGAAATCATGCGAAATGACAACAGTGGAGCGCCATTGGGAATCTCTTTGTCCTCACTTGAGTACACACGAAGTATCGACGACTTCTCCCGATTCTTCTGTTTCTCGAAATCAAATCCATCTCGCCTTTGATCCTCCTTCATCGACGTCGACTTCAGCTTCTTTTCCATGGTCGCCGTCTTCGTCCCCAATAGCTCACTCATCAATAATTCCTTCTTCGTCATCTTTTCTGGCGGCGGTGGTGCAACAGCTCCCAGCTCTCACCCACCAGATCTTGATTTCTTCTTCCTGAATTTCCAGCCACCGATTGGAGTTTCCAATAGGATTGTGTTTGTTCTAGGATTAACCTTCTCCCCTTCCAGATCCGATGCCGGCTCCTCAGCACTCGATGTGGCAGCCGAAGCTGCTAGGGATTGCTCCCCTACCATCGCCTCGGAGGAAGACGTCGGGGTTTGCTAAGTCTCCTCCGCTGATTTCTCCTTCGATAGTACCTCACTCTCCACCGGCTCGAGTGGCTTCATAACTCGACAGGTTGGTGGTGGCGGTTGAAAGAAGCTAATTAGGAAGCAATGCGGTGGTCGTCGGAAGCGGATGCTGGTCGCTGAAGTCTTTCACGGCCGGATCATCTTCTTCGGTTACAACTGGGGGAATTATCCTTGGAATCCGGACGTTGAGACTGCATATTCCGAAGCCAGCACTACAGTGTGCAACATCGTAGAATTCCTCGAGTTCGATGTGCCTCTTGAAACGGATCCATCTATGGTCGTAACCCAATGGACGCTCTGCCGTAATAATCAGCTCATTCAATGACGTTCTCTGTACCTCTATGTGCTCTCTCTCGAACCCAGGCAAGAAGAAGGAGAAGCGAACGTACCGACGATACACGTTCGTACCTGGTTGAGAGTTGTGACGAACTCAGATTTGTGACCATGGCTCTGATACCAAATGATAGAAACCTATTTCTAGGATTCTAGGTTTCTATCGATTGGGTTGGGAAATTGGGGATTGAAGGAGATTTTAGGGATCGAGAAGAGATTAGGAATAAAGATTGAGAATTTGGGGAAGAACAAGAATAGAATAGCCGACGGCCAGAATAGGGAGAGAATTTGAGAGGATTAGGGTTTAGGAGATTTTCTTAGTATGCTTCCTATTGATTCTGAATAAAACGCAAAGTACTTATTTATAACGAAAGACTGCAAAAACCTAATAAACTAACCTAATGTGACTCAAAGACTACTAATCATATCTAATAGAATCCTAATAATAGTAATTATAATAAATCCCGAAAATCGGGTTTCTATCAAACCCTCGGCGAATCCAGGTAACGGTTCTGTTGTGCCATCATCTGCTGAAACCCTAAAGGTGAGTTCTAATTGCTTAACTGATATCATCAATTTGATTACTTTCCAGCATTAATTGAATTGTTTAATGTTCTGTCATTATCCTGCTGATCCAGCCATAAACAGGCCGCCGAATGGCATTAGTTGTCCTGTGTGTTCCTGTTAGTCCAGGCACTAGCAGATTAATTTGGGCCTTCCCTAGGAACTTCAATATTTGGGTGGATAAAGTTGTACCTAGATGGATACTTCACATGGGGACAAACCTTATCCTCGACTCAGATTTGTGCATTCTTCATGATCAAGTGATTTTTGTTACCGGCCATATATAGCTTCAAACTAGTTGCGTGAATGCATATGTAGATACTTTTCATTGGTAAATCTTTGCCATAGATTGAGGTCTAATGCTCTTATAAACTGGTACAGGGGCTGAAAATCAAGCAAGCCGTCGATCCTGCATATTGGCAGAAGGCATGTTTTCTGCCTACAAAATCAGATGCTCTAGTTGTTGGATTCAGGACATGGTTGAACAAATATGCTGGCAGTGAAGTTGATTGGAGTGGGAAGTATGGACAGATAGACACCCTTGGCCTTTATCTAATTTCACTGCATAAATGCATCTATCATCCAATTTACCCGTTCACTCTCCAGGTATTGGACTCATGTAGTGAATTGCCCCAGCTGCAACCGTGCATACAAGATTCTGAAGGTGCTCGAAACCGTTCTGCAGGTCCTGGCTTTCGGACTGATGGGCATTGCTGTTGCAACAAAGCAGGGTATGGTGTCAACAAATACGAGAGCTGGATTGGTGATATTAGCTACCATGTCCTTTGCAGCTTCAAGATGGTTGGCTCATCTTGTCTATAGTAATTTCCATTACCATGACTACAATCAATCGTTACGAGAGAACGAGATGATTGTAATTCTACTAAGGCAATTAGGCCTTCAGGTGTAGCTAGCATGAGTTGGTATTGATGATAAAGTGTTGCTATAATCCTATAACAAAATTGTCTGTAAGCTAAAGGACTTTCCTGGCTACCGTAATCAACTGGTCGCAGTAAGTATGAAGAACTCTCTGATCACGATATTCCTTTGCCAACAATGGAAGCAACCGGTAAAAGCATGGTCTCAGGTTGTGTAAGTATAAATAGTGTTGGTAGGTAACATTTAAGGGATCTTTTCTCTCACACGAAAAACAAGGGGGGACTACTTCTCTCTCTAAAGGATATCTTGCTAACTTAAGCGTCGGAGGATTCACAGGCCAGACGCCTACCCCTGTGTGTGTTGTCCAGGCAAGGCGCTCGAGTGCAAGGGCTGAGTGACGTGGCACGGAGTTGGGGTCTTTCCGACTCAAACAGTTTATGAAAGTTGTTGCCTTTGCGCAGTTTAATAGTCGTTAATTATTAACTAGTTTTCTGACCCACGCTTCGCAACAGTAAGAAACTAATTATATTTCAAATTTCATCCGCTCTTTTAATAATTTAATGGGCTAATACCACTAGGGAAACCGAACTATTAGCTTTGTGCCATTTGTGTCCTAAAGTATCCGATATGAAAATTGTGTCCCAAACTATTTTTCCGTTATGGTTGACGGGCGTTGACCGTTAGTTTTAAACAGAATTGAAAGTTTGATTTTACCTATTTTGTTCTTCGACTCCGAGCAGCGTCGGCGGCGATGAAGAAGTTCCGAACAACAACAACAACGAGTCTTCTTCCTCTGCGACGTCGTCGTCTTCAATGGTTGTGCCCAAGCCGATGGAGGGACTGAACGACTCTGGTCCTCCCCATTTCCTGAAGAAGACTCACGTCGATTAGAACTGGGAGCTCTGCCGGAGAAGAAGAAGTTGACGAGAAGGAAGGGATTCAAGTCGATTGGAGCTAGAGCTCTGCCTGAGAAGATTTTCTATTTTAAGTTTTCTTTGTCTTTTGTATTTTAAGTGCTGATTTTAATTTAAAAATAACAACCTGATGTGGCAGTTGACGTGGCGCATACATGGCTGCCACATATGTGCCATGTAACCAACAATCAACATTTTATGGTTGACCTTTGGTCAACCGTTATCTATAACGGTCAACAAAATTGTTAGGACGTAAATGACACAAAACTACCAAACGTTGGGACACAATTGTCATATCGGATACTTTAGGACACAAGTGGCACAAATTTAATAGTTAGGGTTTCCCAATGGTATTAACCATAATTTAATTAAAATCAAATAATTTTCAAAATCATTCTCATAAGATATCTTCATATACTTTTCATAGTGTCTCATCATTATGGAATATTTACGTAATACATTTGTTTAATTGATGTATAAAAAATAATAATTCCTCCATAATCTCTACGTAGTGTCTTATTCGTTACAAAATTTTTATTTAGGGGTCATTTGGAAGTTGCAAATGTTAAATCGTTGCATTGTTATGAATCACCATAATATAAATGCATGTATTGATACAATGTATGCATTTTAACAATATATTGTTTGGTTGTTGAGATTCTACTTTATGCATTGATTTACATAAAGTTACTTATATGCATTTACCCTTAACTTTTAGAATAAGACAAACTATTGGGGATATAAATGGAAGGAAAAAGTTGACACAAATCTAAAACAAACAATCACAACAATCTCAATTTCTAGTTGAGATTGTATAATGCATCATTTTTCTGATTGTTGGTGGGACCTACCTAAAACAATTGTTTTAGACTTTGGCACTTCCAAACATTGTATTGTGCACAAAACATGTATTCAACAAGCACAACTCTAACAATCACAATTTCCAAACGACCCCTTAATACGCGTGTTTAATTGATACATAAGAAATAAGTATCTATGCGTAAGCTTTATGTAGTGTCTTTATCATTACGAACAACTTGCATAATGCGTTTAATTAATTGATAAACAGACCATCCCTTCATGAAGTTTACTCAATAAATTTTTTATTTATATAACTATTACATAATGATGTTACAGAATTTTTTTGTGTGGTCTGATAATAAAATTAAGTTTTAAAAATTATCACATTTGATTAAAGTATTGTGCAAAAGACTAAAAGTTAAATTGAGTAATTGACGTTACCGAACCTCTGTGCAATGAAAATTGATTATATTGTGAATAAATCAAAGTATTGTGCAAAAGACTAAAAGTTAAATTGAGTAATTGACGTTACCGAACCTCTGTGCAATGAAAATTGATTATATTGTGAATATTTTAGTTAGTAATAAAGAAATTAAGTTATACAAAATACCTTGCTAGGTAGCATGGAGGTTCCTCGTGAAGGCAAAAAATGTTATATTTGAGTAAACTGTTGTGTAAGAAAAACTAAGCTTACGGAACCTTTGGTTTAGTTATTACCACGATAATCATTTGAACACTCCTAGTAGTATCAACTACTACACATATAAATTGAAACAATAGCGTCACAAAAGAAGTTTAAACATAAATAATCTATTCGACGACCCTTCTACCTTATGCAAGTTCATCGGTAATGACTTGATATATACACATGTTTTTGTCCACCATTCTAGTACCGTTTGAGTCTTATTTCTCGTGTTTTAGGCCGACTTCACGCTAGCTTGTTCTTGTTTGTGATATTTTAGATCCTAGTACTTGAATGAAGGTTTGGGAACGAGTTTGGGGTCGATTGGACGAAGATTGGACGTTTGGCGAGAAACTGAGGAAGCCACACGGGCAATCCTAAATTTCCACACGGCCGTGTGACTTGGCCGTGTGGCACCGCTTTGCACGGGCAAATCGCACAGGCCGGGTAGGGGACCCCTTATGGCCGTGTGGAAAGTTCAGGGAGCTCACACGGCCAGACTGGAAATCCACACGGCCGTGTGCCTCTGGCCGTGCAGTGTGCCTGAAGTCCACTAATCGAAACGCGGCGTTTTCACATCCACACGGGCAGACTGGAAAGCCACACGGCCGTGTGGCCTGGCCGTGTGATCGGGAAATTCTGGGTTTTAACCCAATTGCGAGCCAAAGGAGAGGGAATCGACTTTTTGGAGCAAAAACAGAGTTTTAGAGAGAGAAAGGGCGAAGAACAAACCCTAGGAGCTATTTGGAGTGGATTTCTCACCATTTTAGCCCAGATTGCATCCCCCAGAACCGACCAATCAAGGTGGAGCTCCCCAACACAGCTAGTCAGCAACCAACTTTGCAGGTGGAGGCTTCTTCGGCAGCCTCAAAATTCGACCAATAGGAAAGAAGCACTGCATTTCCCGTCTTAACAACGACCAATCAACAAGTGACACATGGCATTGGTTTTTTCTATAAGAAGAGCTCTTCTGCTCTTGCTTTTGGGAGGGGGGGGGGGGTTGGAAAATATATAAGGGGGACACTGGAGAAAGAGTGAGATATAGAGAAATACTTTCCTTTTGCCATTTTACAAAATTTCCAGTTTGAAACTTTTAATAGTTGAAGCACAAGGATCTCAAGGCATGTAAACCAGGTTCACTTCTTCTAATAACATTCCATTTCATTCAAGTTTCTCCACCGTTGTTAATAATCTATGTTGAATCATTTATATTTCTGCACTTGCTAGTATCATTATCAATCATTTTAATTTAATCTGCCTTTTATTTTAAGCGCATAGTAATATGATAAGAATCTGCTAACTAGTCATGTTCCTTATACAGTACATAGCCATATTTAGGGTCATTTGGATGTGGAAATGTAATGTAGTAATCGGACTCAATTACCACATAATGCAGTAATTGGGTTAAAAACCCACGTTTGGAAGAGCAAAAAGGGTAAGAGAATTGGACCATGGAAATTGGCTTCAATTACCACATTCATGGTAATTGAGAATACTACACCTCCCCCTAGTAATTTGACATTACCACGTTTTCTTACTTCTTTTTCCAAATTTCACATCATCAATTCCCACAAAACTAAACCCTATCCAAACGTGATTTTTTTTCCAATTTCCACAAGTCAATTCCTTGGTTTTCTAAAACATGGAAATTCAGACAAATTCCAATATTTTCAAATTTCCACATCCAAACGACCCCTAAGTTTTCAGTCTTGCTCCCTTTCCATCAAATAGCTAATAGTTGAGAATTTTTTTTTTATATAAATCTACCACTTAATGATGTATTTCCAAACCCAGAATACACGCAACAATCACCAAAATCGAGCCCAACAAAATAGAGCTTCGAGAAATACACGACCCATTCCAAACAACCATAGAACCCTCAAACTACCCGAACTATGTAGAAACATAGATTGGCACTAATGATCAATCAACCATCAATCCATCCCAAATCAAATACCATAACACCAAAATTTCTCCACTATATCATCCACCAAATCTAAAATCCCAGAACTATACCGCAAGAGCCACACAATAACATTTCAAAATCACTTAAACTCGTACATAACCATTTTTTTATTAAAAACCCAGATCTGTTAGCTATCCTAAAATTCGTATAGTCCATTTTTTAGTTCAAATTCCCTAATCACACTAAGCTGAGTATAGGAGAACCTTACACAAACCTGCCCGCTCTCACATCCTCCCGAAACAAAAAATAGAAGGGTCGGTACCAACCCAAATCCAAGTAAGAACAAAAAATAAAAAATCAGTAATCCCACCTGCACCAAAGCATCGCCTACGGCGATATTCTTCATCCTCCTCTCGACCGCGCTATTCACTTCTCCTGGTCCAAATCCGAAACCCAAAAACAACATATAATCATAATCCGGTTTTTGAAATTGAAATAGAAGAACCTACATGCAAACCAAAACTCACCGGCCACTGCCATCGTCAAACCACCGCCGGCGGAGATCTTAGCCACCAAAAATTTCCTCCTCCTCCACTCAACCGAAACAAAAAAATATTAGAACCCAGAAACCAAAAAATCAGCCGAAAACCAAAAAAAATAGAACTAAGCCTACCGTAATCGTCCATCGGTTTGATCGTCGCCGGCGACGAGGATTTCTTATCCCCTCG